GACTATAAAGAAAGAATAATTAAACATGGTAAAAATATGGAAACAAGCAAATAAGCAAAGAAAAAGTGACAAGATATTAAGACATAAGATCGTTGAGATACTCTGCAGACGATTCTGTAGTATTGCTTGTGAAACGGTTATCGATTTTGAATGTTTTTCAAAGCGTAAAGTCCAAACAAGCAGAATAAAAAAGGATAAGATGAACCTATGGACCTTTTACGATGACTAAGGTTATCCATTACCTTAATCTTTTGCTCGTCAATAAAACTTTTGGTTGAGGCTGTTACATTCTAGCCATCGATAGGTTTGACGGTGAAATTAAAATATTAAAATTTAGGGCATGTCGCGTAATATTAAGTTAGGTAGTTTATATATATATATATATATATATATATATATATATATATATATATATATATATATATATATATATTTCGATTATAGGTGCAGTTCAATTTATAATTACATGAATCATTCATACAAAAATTGAAATTGTTTGCGAATATGTATTCTCGCCATTTAAATCATTAACCTCTATATTTGTTTTTTGCATGAATGATTCATGTAATTATGAATTAAACTGCACCTATAATCGAAATTAAAATATCTGATCCAACGTGCAACTTTCGGATAATAAGTGTGACATTCCTGTAATTATTGAACAATATAGTTCATGCCACATTTACAGAAAACCTACCAGTATAAAAGAATTCTCCTATTACTATATTTGTACAAAAACGCACAACCTTAAAATTTAAAATTCAAACTCAGCGTTGCGACCGCACGTTCCAAAACAATAACACATTTCTCATAGCATTTTTTCGGATTACATCTATATTTTCGCTGTCCTCTTATTACCGAGAAGTAAAAAACAAGAGCAAATCTATTTCCATACCTGAGGATGTCTGTAGGAACAGACGAAAGCTTGTAAAAACTAAAAAAAGACCTTATTCAACTGGGATTTATAAACAGGGATCATATCATTCATATACATGTTCGGGGTTATTGTACCTTATTGAAATTGTTTGCGAAGATGTATTCTCGCCATTTAAATCATTAACCTCAATATTTGTTTTTTGTATGAATGATTCATGTAATTATATATATATATATATATATATATATATATATATATGAGTGGACACTGAGGTCAACACCAAGAAAGAACAATTTGTTTCATTCTTGAAAGCAATTTTAGACCATTCGTTCTAGCATGAAGCACTGGTCGCCGCTCGATGTGAACCTCAGTGTCCACTACGCTCTATTTCTGATAGTTAGCATTTTACCCATAAATGCAGCAGAAAACTATATAAAAAAAACTTAAAACTATATATATATATATATATATATATATATATATATATATATATATATATATATACCGGGTGTAACAGCAAAATTGTCCAAATCCTGTAACAGCATGGGATAATTGCCCATCCCACAAAATGTTTAACATCTAAAAAAAACTACTAAACTAATTGTTTCTTTTTTCCAGGTTTTCAGATAAGAAGTTTCGCCATCTTGACACCATTTGTCGTAAGAATCACTGAAAGACCCTTGGAGTTATTCAGCTAGAAAGAGAACAGTTTGAAATCGTTTTGTTTCAGACACACTATGTCTTCCCAAATGAGCAATGTAAGAGAAAAAAGATCATTCAGACTTTCAGTAATGGTACCAACATTCATACTTTGGCATGCATCTTCAAAGTCTATTCAGGAAACATCAAGAGAACGGTGAAAAAGTTTGTTTTTTTTAAGTTTAAAGTAGAGAGCAACAGCAAGAGGGATCATCATTTCAACTTAGAGCTAAATACATTCTTATTGTTTAAAGTAGAGTCCAATAGCGTTACAAAAACCTCGGAGAAATCCAGTAAGATATCTTTAATCATTTCTAAGATACAACGGTTCAAATCTTAATCTAAAATTTTGCTGTTACATGATTTGGACAATTTTGCTGTTACACTCGGTATATATATATATATATATATATATATATATATATATATATATATATATATGCCAAGAGGTGAACAGTTATTGGCTCCATTCAGTTCTCAAAACTTGACTAAATGACAAAACCTCAGATTTACTTGTTTAATCCATCTCTACTTTGGCAGCGAAAGAACTTTTCAGCACTCCCTCATGTATGTATGTACGTAGGCCTCATCACACTACACCTTGATGCTGTGGTTTCTGTAGTAAGTAGGGCTTTTAAGAGGTGGAGTTGCTAGCCTCGCAGACAACCAGCTTTGAATTCGAAGTTATACTACTTCTAGACCGGTTGCCAGCCAAGGTTAACTACCCCAGTTTGTCCTGACAGAGAGAAGAGATGTTTTCATATCTTTCAAATGGTATTTGTGCGAACGCAACCACCTCAGCTGGAATTTGAACTCAGCACGCCAATCTCATCTTTCGTACCTATAACCGCTAGATCCTGTGTATTTACACATACTTACAGAGATGTACGAATTTTGTACTCCCCAGGAGGAGATCATGTGACATCCGTTTTACTAGGATAGTTTGGTGAAAGTTTGTAGATTCTCTACTTGACTGGATGACGCCATTGTAAAGGATTAAATCATTTCGAGTTAATAATGTAGAAGCTGATTCAAAATTCACAAAAGAACGAGAAAATGTATTCATCACTACGGAAAATAATGACTAAAGTGGCTATATTAGTTTTATAAATAATTAAAAATTAATCTCCAATTAATCGGTCAGTTTTTTTGTTATTTGCTCAGTGTCGAATATTCTCGCGAGAATTCAGAACTTCATACCCTTTTCTATGGCAGCAACCTTTAAATTTGTCAAAAAGTACAAATTGGGTTTTCCATAAAGCGATTTTCCATTTTTTCAAAATAAATAAATTAAAAGAAAAAAAAAAGGAAAAAAACCAAAATGCTGCTAGAAATTAGAAAACAATTTATGATTCCAGTTGTAATCAGAAACAAAGAAGACATTTTGTTTAAATCTAAGATCTACCATCATGTAACTTTATATTTTATGTATCTGGAATATATGGCTAACGCTATTGTCTGCTTTTGTCAGCCGCAAGCAGAGAATCCAAAATGGCCTTTAACACTTTCACTGCTGCATTGTTATAGCTTTGTAACCTCGCTTGCTGAGCCATTTTGGAAAAAAAAGGAAATTGCCCTTTATTGGAAATAAATGACTACGAAGACGCCGACGGTGATTTCTCATGGACGTCGCCATTTTGGTTTTGATAGAATACTCTGCGTTGCAGACTAAGCTGAACGACACCCCAACACACATTATAATGAAAATGCACCAAAAACAGGCCGTATAGTACGTTACATGTCTACGCTGTTTTGCAAATAGCACTAAGCACTAGTTAAGTTATAACACATTCGCAAGGGACCGACATTGCAAGATCTCTTCAAAACGTGAACAGTACGGAATGTAATTTTCGGAATCAATATGTCCAAAGCAGCGGAAATAACAAATGCAGTGAGCCTCCGCCTATTCGCGTTTCAGCATTCGCGGCTTCACACATTCGCGGCTTCACACATTCGCAGATTTTTCTTTAGAACATATGTACTTGTCATTCGCGGAAACTCCGAATATTCGCGTGTTTTTCTGAAGGACATAAGTAAAAATTATTCGCTGAGAACTTCCTCAATTTGCGTATTTTTTCGATAGAACATGTTTAAAATATTTTTGTATTATTTTCCTATCATTTAAATGACTTAAAGCATAAAGCTGTTCATTTTTATGGTAAAATTGGCAAAATTTTACATCTTCAATTTAAAAATCAAACGCAAAACCATGCGTATTGCTTGGGTTTTGTTCTTTGTTAGGGGTTGCGGCCGGGGTCTTAAAAGTGGCTTATGCTAAGTCTGGGGGCATCATCACAGTTCTGTTTTTTTTTAAATACTTTAAACTTTATATTTTATGTCTTGTTACACATTTTTTTACAGTATTTTCAATGGTTGTATCGATTTATGCGTAATTAAAAACGGTTATTGTACGCACAAAAGAAAATTTATGCTAAGTTTATGGTCACCAATACTATTTTTTAAAAAATTGTTAGAAGAGTCTGTAATGTTTCTAAAGTGTTTAGGATGAAAGTTTAAGGCATATGGGGTTTTAACAATCAAAATAGGTAATTATAAGCACTTTGGGTGGGGGTACAAGTATTCGCGGATTCTAACTATTCACGGCCGGATCTGCGAATATAGCTGACTCACTGTAATGCTGTTGCTTGCCAATTTTGACACAAGGCCCCTACTGGATGAATTCTAGAATAACAGCATTTGAAACATTGTTATACTTAAAGTTAAAATATAGTTAAATATAGATATGAAACCAGTGAGAATGAGAAATGGATATGATTAGAAAGATAAATTTGTTTCTATTGTTGATAGATGTATGATTAGAAAACCAAGAAGCCAACAATTGTGGGTAGATATATTTTTATAGTGAGGCTTATTCTCATTTTAACTCCTTTCAGATGGACCAACAAGATTAGACGAGGGAAATATTTAAAATCCGTGTACAACCGTTTCCTCAGATGGATGGTTAAAAGAGTTTCAAACGAATTAATCTTATAAATTTTGAATTACAAAGAGTTTCACTAAATAATAAAAACCATGCCTACTTGAACACTTTCAAGAATAGCAACAACAAAAATGGATTAACACAAAGGGTACTCCCAATGCACAATAGTAATGCGTCACAACAGTTCGCTACTATATGTCTTGGCTGGTTTAGAAATATGTGCTAATTAATGATTTTTTACGGTTTATCAACCCTTTGCAGGTTATTTAAAACCAGAAAATATTTTTAGATTGTAAGAATATTTTTGGAGATAATAATGATTTACTGATACAAATCTTACTAATTAACCTATAGCTAGGGGTAGAAGAGGTGGACTCATAGGATATTTGCGCGTAAGTGATAACGAATACGACCGAAATTGTAACTCGTCTTTCCAATTTCCAATTCCGAGTCATTGTCTACTTCCCCATCCGCACATCCAAGCTTACAGCATCTGGTATTCCTAAGCGGTCACCTCTCTAGGTACTGAACAGGCTTGACGTTGCTTAACATCAGTGATCGTACGAGAACCGGTGTTAAACGTGATATGGCCGTAAGCCCTAACTGCTAGTTAATTTATAACACAAACGCTAAGTACTGATATTAAACGGCATCTTGAAAACCTATATACCTTATATACTCGCATATAATGTAAGTTTTTATTATCATTTTTTTACGCAAAAAATAGAGGATCGCACTATACATAGGTAATTTTTTTTTTTTTTGAAGATGTTAAAAATCATGCATTTTCAGTGACCAGTGGCACTATACATAGGTAATTTTTTTTTTTTTGAAGAGGTTAAAAATCATGAATTTTCAGTGACCGGTTGCACTATACATAGGTAATTTTTTTTTTTTTTTTGAAGAGGTTAAAAATCATGCATTTCGGTGACCAGTTGCACTATACATAGGTAATTTTTTAAAAATTCATGCATTTTCAGTAACGGTGACCGTAACCTACCTGGTAGACTTACATTCTCACGGTACCTACGGCTAATCATAACGATACAGGTAAGCTTCTTTAGCCTACCTCCCTTTGTCTAAATTCTTTCTTTCTGTTGCTCCATGAACAGCAGAACGTAATTTACTACGTGTGTCGCTTAAAATCTACAAATATCTTCTATAGTTATTTTCCAAGCGTAGCTTAGAGGTGACACAAGGCCGAAAGTATGGGACATCCAGTGAGGATCGAACTCACTACTAAGTCGCAAATGTTCTAGCGAGACAAACTTGCTAACCATTACACTACCTCGAGGCGCTCACAAATATCTTCTAGGTAATAAATACGAATGTCATAATGCCATTGTGTCATACTTTTTCAGCTTTACGCCGAGAGGCCTTAGCCCAACATATCATACCATTTAGGAATCAAGTCAACTCCGTGAGCAAATTAAAAAACATTACGGGTCGGATTCAGACCCACAATCCTGAAATTTTCCCCCAAGTTTTCATTACTGCGATTTTTTTCGGCGATATATTTGATCTTGTGACGATTTTTTTTTTGTACGATAACAATTCTTATAAACTTGGAAATAAATTTATGAATAATCAAAATTAATGGCGGAATCCAGTGAAAATCACCCATGAAATAAAAATAAATGTTTGTACGGGAAGTAAGGAGCTACGCACATCAAATTTAAATTAAGTGGCGGCAGATGAATTATCGTTGAAGTTTTAAAAGGTAAGCTTAAATATTAATGCAATACTTAAATGAAGTGGTCAATTTTGAGTTCTTCTATAGTTTACTGTTGCCTATCGCATCTACTCCTCCCTATCTATTGTGATGAAGACCAAATCAAGAGCCCCCCTCCCCGCCGGAGCTATCTTAAATGCCGCCTGATAGGGCAACTTTTAAGCTAGTATATAAATAAAGAATTAACAATGTTTATTTTTCCGTTCTTTAATTTGCGTTCATCTTCGTCCGCACATATTTACATCACTGAGGGATGCTTTTACAATCTGTAGTGGACCGTGGTTGTGATGTTGTTGAGTAGACGTAGAAGAAACACGTGTGGGTTCAGATTTTCCTGCTAGCTGGTCCAACTACACAAGAAAGTTGGACTTTTAATTAAGTCCAAAGAATGCAAAAAACAAACAAACAAAACACAAGACCGATAATATATGTATACAAATATATATATTAATAACAGGTTACATAGAAACAGTTACAAAAGGACAAAGTGTGTGTGAGTATTATATATGTGCGTTTGTGTGTGTGAGTATTGTGCTTAGCGTGTTCCCACGCTATCCCTTTGAGCGCTTACATTTTTGAGGTGGTAAGGCTGGAAGCCTGAGGAAAAAGAGAGATTTACCTTCAGGTGTCGGCGCACAGGCCTGAGGGAAAAAGAGAAAGAGGCGAAGGGTCAGCGGCTATTTATAGCCAGGGAAGAGACACCCCTGGTGAAAGGGTTAACGAACTGAAGGAGGAGTTAACTCCGACAAATCTATACTATATATGTTTCTATCATGTTCAATATTCTATCTTCCTCCTATTTGTTTCCCTTTATTTTTTTTTTACATTTACTGGTATTATTTTATTTCATAATTCTCCGTTATATATTCTTAAAAGATTTTGAAAAGATGTACCGCGATATACAGTAAATGATGATTTCACAGGATGAAATGCCAAATGCATTTTAATTATAGTAGATTTATTTACGGTATACAGTAATTTTATTAATAGGAATCTACAAAATTGAGGAGAATTATAAAAGCATATCCAACTGTTTATAAATAAATTATACCCAAAGTATTACGGTATATGCCGGAGAAAGAAATTACGACCTATGTACGTTCAATAATTCGTCGAAAAAAAACAATAAAGCATGATGAAATAAAGCTCCCAACCTTTAATAAAAACAAAGTTTTATCGTAAAAATGTTTATACTGTTATTAAGAGGAAAGACCAAAATATTTTTAATTACTTTTTTTTAATCCTTTCTAGCAAGTTTGAAATTTTGGTTAAAATCTTGTTTCTTTTACGTCAGCGAGTCATGTAATATTTAGTATTAGTTTTTAGCACTTTTTTCAGTTGAAAAACATTAAATTTGAAATTCTTCCAAAAATCAAATAATTATCGGATTTAATGAAGCTTTCAGAACTTATTAAAAAATGAAGAAAATTATTTTAGAAATATTTGTTTTTTAGAAAGTCATGGTAAAAATATTTTTATACCTATATTAACCATGTCCCTTACTTAATTTGACTATGTGTGTTTTTGTGATTATTTTAATTAGAATGCAGAAGACTGAAGAATATAAATCATCGGTGGTTTTTTTTTTTTTTTTTTTTTTTTTTTGTAAATTGAGAAGCGTTTTTACCCAAAAATTAGCTCTGAATTGTAAAATACAAAACCCAATAAAACTAAAACATTGTTTAATTAGAAAAGCTTTTAATAGCTTTTATGAATATAATATGTTAAGAAAATTATTGTCTGGAACCAAAATATTTTTCCGATGATAAATGACTTTTTCAAGAGTTGTTTTCTTTTTTTTTTTTTTCAATTTTAAATGCAAAATATGATAAAGTTGTTAAATATTTTAAAATTAAATTTGAATATATGTCTTTTTGGAAATGCACTTATTAAAAAGAACTATTTTTACAGATCAAAAATTTGAAAGATTATTACAATCTGCGAGGCTTTAGTATTTTTAAAATAATTTTTTAATATGCCAAAAAATTGTATTAAAAACGTTTCCGGCAAAACTACGGAGGAACAATTCAGAAATAATCTCACTTGTTTTAAGAGTTTTTTTTTTTTTCTCCTGATAGCGAAGATCCGGCCTCATAAATTGTGTTGCTTTCGTTTTAGATCGCACGAGTCAAATTCTCTGATTGACCGACCATCATCATCACATTTTTCAAAATTTTTAATTTTCTTTTTTTACCTATTTCACTAAATATTTTCTTTTCACTTTTTAAATATAATAAATTGCAGTATGTCACTTACTGAAGTGACATACTGCAATTATTTTTTTTTTCTTTTTTCGATTCAATTTTGGGGACGGAAACATAGGCTTTGGACATATCTTCGTTAAAAAATAAGTACCTAAAAATCAATAAAATATTAGACTTTTGAAAGTATTTAATTTTTAAGCATTACTTTATATTTAAATAAACTGGTTCACTTAAAATTCGAAAATACTGTCACTTCTGTCTTTCCGTCCGATAAATTCCACTGACGTTAGCTGTCGATACATTTACGTAAACACCTACAAAACCAATCACCATCGTTAGACATGCTTCTCTTATTTCCAACTAAATTTTTTTTGCTAAAAGATTAAGTAATGTTTGTCTCCAATTACATTAAACAAACTTTAAATTTTCTAATTTTCCTAAAATAACTTTTCAAAAAAGTATAATTGAATCCTACAATTTCACTTTTGTTTACAATTTTAGTTTTGTTTACAAAATTGCCAAAAATGGCTGACATGGTCGATTTTATGACAGTTTTGCTGACTCACAAAAAAAAAAAGATTTTAACTAAAATTTCGGACGTGTTAGGAAGGATGAAAAATTTTAAAAAAATAATCAAAAAAATATTTTGATCTTTCCTCTTAATTATAACATAAACATTTAGACAATAAAAACATTGTTTATCAAGCTTGGGACCTTTTTTTCTCAGAGTATGCTCTTTTTTAACAAATTATTGAATATACCTACGATACATCGAAGAAAATAATTTTTGACGGAACATTTATTAATTATAAAGGAATGAATTATTTACAACAATGAACCTCAGTTTGTATCAAAATGAAGCAAAAAAACAACGAATGTGTATAAAGCATTTTTTTTTTTTACATAGAATGACTTATCATAACCCGAAGTATGTGTGTCAATTCGTGTGACACCCTGTATTATGTACCGGTAATCCTGACTGAAAAGTTGTCATTGGAAAGATACCTCAGTCATGTAAACACTTGCGAAACAAAGGTGATATAAATTTGGGAAGGGAAAAAAATCTATTACTATATTCATATAAGGTATTCGTTCATTTTAAGTGGCATATATAGTGGATGACTTTTTGCTCTTCATGTAGCAACAACAGGGAAGAAACTTAGGGTACGTATGAAGCAGGCCCAGAGTAAAGGAGCTACAATAGTCAGGCATGAAAAAAACAAAATTACGGTATCTAAACCTTCGTATCAGATATGTTACCGAAAGTTTTTCTCTCCTTTTGGAGTATCTTCGCACAAAAAACAATAAATTTATTTGCTATAAAATATGTCCAGGACGATGCCCAATACTGCAATATTTGACTACCTGGGGCTTACTAGTATTATTCAGAAGCTGGGGTGGCATTATTATACACGAGTTATATGAAAAAAAATCAGGTCTTTCAAAAAGAAAATTCAGGGGTCACACTATACACGAATGTTGTCTTCCTTCTTTATTTCTCTCTGTTATCTCGAAAACTCGAGATACAACAATATCCAAGCGCTATTCTTTTAGCCATTGTCAAGGATGAAATTATTTTTGCCAGCTCTCTGTGCAAAATGCTACTACTGTTATTGTCAACCTTGCCAGAGTACACCCGATAAATATACAAAATTTTACT